TTTTCTAAACTACTTTGCCACCTTTAAATGCCCGCACATCAACTAAAATACGTTATTAGTGAATCAACTTCCAAATATCCCCTCCTTAATGTATTGTGTGAATAAGGAATACTGGAGGTGAATAAACAAAAAATGTAAAGGCGACGGGGCGAAGCAGTTTTAAATCGTTTTTTGGTTTTAAAACTCAACCTTTCAATAAAAAAATTACTCGTTTTCTCGAAACATTTCAAATAAAACTTACGTAATTTTCCTAAAATAAAACGCACTAATCGAATTTCAATGTTAATTAAAACGAATCAGCCGAGATGTTGGATTATACATCATCCCTTATTTCTTATGTCATGAAATATAAAATTTAAAAAAATCGTATCTCAAGAACGAATTGAGATATCAGTACAGATAAAGTACATTTTAAAGCAAATTTAATAAAGATTTAATCCACTTGTTATTTTCTATAAACATCGTTGTTATGATACAGCCACTCCGTACCCTTAACTTAAAAAAAAAAAGACTAGAAAAGTAGTAAGAACAACAATAAATTATATTAAAGGTAGAAATACTAAAACTGTTTCTGTTTTAGTACAAATACATTTTCAGTCTATTACATTTCAGTAATCAGTCTATTACTTTGTTCGTTTGTACGTTCGTTATACCTTATTATGATTAGTAGAATATTTAAAACATTTTCACATTATAAGTACGACGGCTTTCACGGCCGATATTAATTAAACTAAAACTAGAACTAACACTAGCACTATCACAAGAACTAACACTAGACCTAGAACTAGAATCTTTCGGGTTAAGCCGTGCGTTTTTTGAAAAAATGTTTGATGTTTCGGATACCATGTTGCAACCTTCTTCAGAAACAACTTCGAACTTGTTTCTTCACATTAGTTTGTTCTCTAGTAGTAATCCGTTTACAAACAAAAATTTTTTGTGTAATTGGGGAGTGGACTTCCAGGCAGTAAAGTCACCGGAGTCGTTTACACAATCGTACGTACTTAATTAGCAAATTTAGAGATTGGGCATTTACATTTTTGCATTCATCTTGGATCATACTTTCGATGGGGATGTTGACGACTAAAATTTGTCAATTAATGAAGGAGATAATTAACTTATTTGATTAAGTAGTTTTTTGTATTCTAATCAAAATCCTTAAATATTTCGAATCGGCGTACGCATTCAGTCAGACTCAAGCTTTCGTTTCAGATATAAAACATTACAATCCGTCAAATCGTTCTCTAGTTATAATCAATTCAATTTTCGGTCGTCCATTCTTACATAAACAACGAGCCGAATACGGTGTTATTCCGAAGGCTGTACAAGGTTAACGGGTGAGGATTGAGTTCGGGCATTTTGTGATTTCGATAGAAGAAACTATGGCGAATCGAATGACCTATATATCTTGATAATCGAGTATATCGTTTACGAGTTTTGACCACTTAAAGAAAGTAATTTTTGTGTTATATTCGTGCACCTTCGCAATATTTTGGCATTTTAGCGGAATTCGAAAGAGATTTTGAATCGGACATTTCCACATTCGTATTGGCCAAGGATTAAGCTTTCGAATGAGATATTGTTTATCGAAATCGGTTGAGTGGTTCTCTTGTTATAATCAAAATGCTATACATGTAAAATCCTATATAATTGGGGGCTAGAAAAATAGGAGCTAACTTCGCATATGTTACTACATACTAGCACAGAGTGCAGGAATGATAGACTGAATATCAACCCGAACAAAATAGAAATAGTCCCATCCACTCGAAAAAGAAAACTACAACTGACAATGAAAGCATCCCCCATTGAAGGCAGAGCTATTAACCTCAAAACAGATGTCAAATACATATGAGTAATACTAAAACTGGAATTCCCACATTGCTAAGGTGAGGAAAAAGGCCATCATGGCTAATCAGATCTACCATACTCTGATTAGCAGAAGAAACTGGGGTCTTCACTACGAATGGCTCACTGAGCCTTTGTGGTAATAGCTGACACAAATCCAGCGGCTTGCATGTCTTAATACTAGGTGACTCTTGAGTCCTATCATAAGATGCTATAATTTTTGCAAATGGGGCAAATTCAATTCTGCGTTGACATTTGTGAAGTAAACAGATACAAAATACACGACTACAAGACATGGATACACCTCAAGAACGTGAAATAATTGTTTCGATTTTTTACGGAATAATTCGTTGGTGGTTTTGGCGCAGCTACGAGGGCCATATTTTTTCGAAAACACCGTGGTCCAAACGACTACTGCGGACGAAGAGTGTTACAAAGCCATGCTCAATGACTTTCTCCATCCTCAATTGGCTGATTTGGGACTAGAGAACAAGTGATTCCAACAGGATGGAGCAACGGCGTATACTGCACGAACCACAACAGAAATCGATATCATTTTCTCGGCTTAATGAAAAAAAATTTTAGTTATCAAATAAATCCAAAAGTAGAACCAAAGTTTTTCATTCATAACGAAAATTACAGTCAAAGAACACCGTGTAACAACTCACACCACCTCACTTGTTCATACAAAAAGAGAAAGCTTTGCTTGAATGCCTAGTCTCTCAAGCAACCTCAGAGGAAATCTCGAAATCCTCAAGGACCCATGCCTAAACAACTAGATTCCAATTAAAACGGATCTTATACCTACCGACAAAATATAATTTCGACCAGCTAAATAAGGACATGTTTAGAAGAATGGACGATGGGTGAGCCTCAATTCAAAAGAGGATACACCGATGCATCAAAGACAGCTGGATTCCAAGTAGGTATAGGTATCAGCGGACCAAAAAGCCGCATTAAGACGCCTTTAAGCTCGGATACAACTATTTTTCAGACTGAAGTTCTTGCCATAAACTTCTGTACCGTTTTGTACCTTGAGAAGGGACAGAAAGGGGCATTGATAAGCATCTTTACGGACATTCGGGCCGCCCTAAAGACAATTCAGACCAACACGTGTGAATCCACACTGGTAGCAATGTACTGATAACCTGAGAAAACTCGCCAGGTGGGTTCCAGGTCACAAAGATATTGTCTATAATGAAAAGACGAGCGACCTAAGATGATTAACACATGGGAGGACTCTAATGTAGCCTTGCGCTGGACTCCATCGCAAAAGAAAACCAAAGAAGTTTAATGCTTCAGCAAAGTGGATTTAAGGTTACTCTCAGGTTTCCTGATCGGCCATGCGTACCTAAACTACTATCGCTACAACATTGGACAAGCTGAGGATCAAACTTGTCGACTTTCCAACGACAATACAGAGACTGCGGAACGTATTCTGTGTGACTGCATCGCCAAAGGTCGCCTAGACACAATATTTTCGGAAAGGTTTGTCTGATACCACTGACATAAAGGAACAAGAGGGAGCAATACTAAGGTTCATTACCTAGATCTGCCCTAAATCTTTGGAGGGCATAAGTTACAATAGATCTTATACGTTGCGGTGACGTATAAAGGGTTGCACCCCTCAGCCCAGCAGCAACAAAAAAATATTTTAATATTTAATTTGACTCAAATAGAATTATATTTCGATTTTTTTTTACTTAATGTCACTGAATATGGAAACCGTTTATTTTTTTTATTTATCATATAACTGTGGACGCCATAGTGCGTACGTATATACAACGTAATAGCAGCTCGTGGACGCAAGTTAATCAAGCATATATTATATTAACTTATAAAGGGCGCTCAGCAACCCTATATTTAAACCTACCCCACGCCAGATTAACCCCCTAACAGGATCTAAAGTCGGGGCGCCTTTAATTGCGATTTAATTGAAGCGTAATACACATTTACTGTAACTGTTTTTAATACACTATAATTTGTATTTTTTTTTTTACCGTTCATAATTTGAACCCATAAATGCTTTTTTATAAAGCTGCTACCGTTTGTCACGTGAATATAGGGTTCATTTTAAATTAAGAGAAAAAGAGTATATTATGTGTGAAAAACAGAGATATTTTTATTTTTGTAAAAAGTACAAAGTCTGAGGTTAATAACGAAACATAATATCTGAAAAATGCCCTCCTCGGCTTTGCTTACGGTCATTCTTTAATTACATGTCCAAGAATTTCTTCACGCAATAGAGTAATCGTTTCACGAGCAGTACTGAATATATTGACGTAAATAAAATCATCCACGTCCATAGCAACAATTTTTGTCAAAAAAAAATTAGTAGTATTTTCAACGAAATAAAGTCTAATCCTTCCGATAACCCAAAAACCGCACCAAACTGCCACTCATTGTTGATGTGAAGAGCTCTATCACTTGTCTTGGGTTTTCGGAGCCTCAAATCTGAAAAGGGCCTCATCACTTAGAATAATTTTGTTCAAAAAATCGTGATCTTCAAAATGGCGCGAAATTTAAAATGAAGCCTCTTTTAAATGAATTGGATGAAATGAATGAAATGAGTAATACCTTTATTACATCACTTAATTTTTTTGTTCTAAATACGTATGCTGATGTACCGGAGACAAATGGACTTTTGAGAAAAATTGTAATAAAATTGTACTATGAGTCTAGTATATAGACAATGCACTTTATAGACGCGGACTATTGGAAACGAGATAATCTTTACACATTTCTCTCGATGGTATGTGAAAAAAGAAGCTTAGATTTTTGCTAGATTTAAGAATTCTTCTGCCCATAGATAAACATGTAGGTGGTAATAAACTATTATGGTCTAATAAAATCTAAACTCTTGCTTTCTTAATAAAATGATTATTACTTTGCCGATTGATTTACAATAGATTCATGATAAAATTCTTAATATCTTGAATGTCAATTACAACAATGCCTGTGTATTGGTTTATTAATGAATAATTATAATGTATAATATCGTATATTAAATATACAATATTGTTTATGTTGATGAAAAAATTTTTCTTTGAAATAATTAAAAAAAAAAAAGAAGTCAGAATGTTATTCTCTATATATTTTTGATTATATTCTATCATTAAAAAAACTTGATAATATTTTGAAAATATTTTTTATTTTAGATGACGCAAGAATTAAATTTAAACGTTACGTTAACGTCTTGGCCACAACCAAATCTGAAGATAACGAAAAGTTCCTCATACTTCGCCCCAAATACAGCATGCCATTGGAAGATGTGATGCAATACTCAGTATCTTCATCTCCTTCACCACAACTCGATCCTCGAAACGCAATCGGAATACCGGTGTCTCCTTCCTTATCAATTCCCGAGTTTATTCCTAGTCCAAGTAATTCGCCAGCTCCAAGGCAACCTCCTCCGTATAGACCACCTCCCCCGGTAACTCCAACATCTTCGTTGGACAGCATCTCGATAAGTTCCTCATGCGTTTCCATCAACGATGATGGACCGGTGGTTCCTCCTAGAAGGAAAATTATTATGAGAAAATCGGAAAGCGACAGTGGAATTGAAGATAAGTTATCAGTAAATATGAAGATGAAGGTTGAAGATGAAGAGGAAACTACTGAAAATGACAAGTCCTCGGTTAGTGTGAAAGAACGCACACAGAAATTTAATCGAATGGCCTCGGTGGATGATGAATTGAGTCCACACAGACCACATAAAGAAAAGAAGAAGAAGGAACAACCGGAAAAGGTATAAACAACTTTATTAACTTTTTATTAGGTATATCTATTTTTACAAAATTAAACGATCACGTTTTTAAAACTAGAAAACTGCGGTTTCGACTATGTTCTATCGGTTGGAACATGACTAATAGCGACGAGCGGGGTAAATTACAAGCGGGCAACATACAGAATTTCGCGCACAACTAACTAATAACGGTGATATACCGCTGAAATTGTTAACACAAATCCAATATGTTGCTAATTCATATTAATCGTTACGATACACCACCGCTTCTATACCGGGGACATCCATTACACTATTATCGACTATAAAAAATGATGGATTGTCGCCCAATATAGAATGAAAAATTTTATTTGGTGTGTATTTGACATTTAAACATTATGTATAAATATACTGATAAAAAATACTGGATTTAATTAAAACATCTTATATGGTGAGGTTGAAATTTTCTTGAAAAGATTGAGTAGTTAGAAAAATATTTCTTGATCAGAACAGTATGTATACGCAAATCGCCGAGTCACGTGACGGACAATTATTGATATCGTACAGGCGCCGTAAACGCGCTGCGGCGTTTCGAGACAACGGCTTTACGGCACGTGGGTCCCGGTAAACTAATTTGTGATCCCAGCGGGGTTATACAAATACGAATCCCATAAAAACTAAATGAGTGAATGACTGAACACATTCCACCGCGTACGGTCATTAGTCATTTCCGATACGTTATCGCCTGGACTGGCGAGGTGTACGAAGTACAGTAATACACCCAGGGTCCTCGTTGTTGTTGTTGTTGTTGATCCCCAACGGACGCCCAGTGTGGGGGTCCTTGAATGTGTGCTACGCACGATTAACGCGTTCCTAATTGCAATAATAGAATGTACATATCGCAGATCGAACGAAGATCGTGTTTCTTTAATCTTCACGAGAAGAGATCGATGATTATGTGGGTACAACTTGTTCTGAAGTTAGTTTGGTCTTATTGTTGGGTACCTTGTATTGTAAGCTTTTTTTTTTGGTATGAGACATGAAACAAAACTGCGTTTGAAAACTTTTTGATTTAGCATTATTTAATTCAAGCATCGCCGTGACAACAGTGTGTGTTCTGGGTGTCGGCCGAGGCCGTTCCGAAATTTTACAACGATTGTCACGGGGGTGCCGTTGTCGAAACAGGACTACGGTGCACGCGCGTGTCGGTCGCCGCCTGCGGTTGGCACGTTTCAATCGCTTTGTTTTATTATAATGATACGTGGCGTCGGAGTAATTGACGCTTGTCAAAATGCGAGGGCGAACTTTTGTACGCCGCCCCGCCTCGGGGGGAAAAGGTTACAGTTTTGTATTGTCTCTACAGGGCGGTATTTAGGTCTAGGTATTACAACTCGATCCTAATAATATTTTTCAAGTTTAATTTAATAATGTTAAACGAAAATTGTGTTTGGTTTTTTGGAAAATATAAATTTGTTTTGATATGAATATTAAAATATTATTAAAAGTTTAATTATTTTAAATTTTGAGATCAAAAAGCATAACAAGGTTTAGATTTATGTGTTGGGAACGGTTCGGAGTATTTGCATTATTTTGGTCGATGGAGTGGCAGATACGTCCCTGTTTTCGCGAGGCCCGTGTTTATATATGTATGACTGTGTTGTTTCGGTTCGGGGCAGCGCACTTTTGTCACTCGTTCGCTTCGTTTCGTTTGTCCCGTGCGGCCATATCTCATACAGATGGCCCACTCCTATTTATTTATCGACGCGAATTTGTTTGTCGCGAATCGCTTTCGCGATCGAGCTACACGCATTCGCGTCGCCATTCGTTACCCGTCGGATTTATTGGCTAATTATTAATCGCGGCGTGCATTTGCTATTTAAAATTTACGACCTTATATCCCCGCACGCGGGTTAGAAATCCCCGACAGTTCGCGGGTCTACAAAATGTATTCCCGTTACGCGCATCTATACAAATTGCCTAATTGATAGGCGATTCGAGTGGCCATTATGTGGCGCGCGTGCGAGTTCATTCTGCGTGGTAAAAGAGACGGCGAAGGACCCATTGTTACCCTCGTGGTTACCATTGTTGTCCACGTGCGCGGTCTCCACTACCGTCGGGCGAAATCATTACGAATTTTCAATGCGAACGCACACAATTGCTAATTACATCCGCCCTCTAGAAAACGAATAACCAATATTCAGTAAAACCTCGATTAAACGGACAAAATATTTTGTCATAAAATAATTTATTATAATAATAATCACTTTATTCGGGCAATTTTATAATTACAATATTGTGTACAATTTTGTGAAGTAATATAATATACAGGTCTCCCAAAACTCCCGGGACAGAGCTATAAGTTTTGAACGAGTGAAGAAAAAAATTTGAAAATTTGGGTATTAATAAAGAGTCGTAAAAACTACATTCTTAGATAGTTTAGAACTTCCATGCAATGTGGAGTTTTTTTTAGGGGATGACCACCCCTGCATTTAAATTTTTAAATAGCAACCCCTGTCGAGTTGTACCTTATTTTAAAGGTAATTAAAAGAGAAACACAACCCCATAAACCAAAACCCGATATCTTAATTCTTTCAAGAATAATGAGGAGATGACTACCAAATGGGAAAATAAAATGCTTTCATGTTTTTTTGCACGTTTATTACGATTTTTATAACAAATGTTCAAATTGTCTACCTTCTTCGGTCTCTCAATAACCCTAACGCTCATAAATGGAATTTTGAACCATCGCGAGCATATCCCTAGTGATTGTGGTGGTTCCCTAGTGATTGGAATGACGAAAATCCACGTTTAATAAGAGAAGATCATACTCAGAGATCACAGAAAATTAATGTATGGGCCCATACATTAATTTTCTGTCTAAGAATGTAGTTTTTATGACTCTTTATTAATACCCAAATTTTCAAATTTTTTTCTTCACTCGTTCAAAACTTATAGCTCCGTCCCGGGAGTTTTGGGAAACCACTATATTATATTACTTCACAAAATTGTATACAATATTGTAATTATAAAATTGCCCGAATAAAGTGATTATTATTATAATAAATTATTTTATGACAAAATATTTTATCCGTACTGGTAATATGGGAGAGAACGTAATTGGTCCATTTTTTATTGATGAAAATTTGTACGGAGACAGATATCTGCAACTGTTTGAAAATCAAGTGGTTCCAAGTGTATGTGCCGTATAGCCTAATGGTATTGACGATAAGTGGTTCCAAAAAGATGGTGTTCCTCCACATTTTAGTCGCGCAGTCCGAGACTTTTTAAGCCGCACGTTTCCAAACCGTTGAATTGGTAGAACAGGTGAGATTGAGTGGCCACCACGATCTCCTGATCTAACACCACTGGATTTTTTCTGTTGGGGGTTTCTGAAAAGTAGAGTTTATGCAACCAAACTAGAATCAATAAATGATTTGAAAAATCTCATATTTGAAGAAACCACCAATATCACTAGGGATATGCGATGGTTTATGAGCGTTTGGGTCATTGCGAGACCGAAGAAGGTCCTAATTTGAACGTTTGTTATAAAAATCGTAATAAACTTGCAAAAAAACATGAAAACACTTTATTTCCCCATTTGGTAGTCAACCCCTCATAATTCTTGAAAGAATTAAGATATAGGGTTTTGGTTTATGGGGTTGTGTTTCTTTTTCTATTGCCTTTAAAATAAGGTAAAACTCGATAGGGGTTGCTATTTAAAAATGTAGGGGTGGTTATCCCCTAAAAAAACTCCACATTGAATAGAAGTTCTAAACTATCTAAGAATGTAGTTTTTATGACTCTTTAGTGATCCCCAAATTTTCAAATATTTTTCTTCACTTGTTCAAAACTTATAGCTCCGTCCCGGGAGTTTTGGGAAACTCTGTATAAATAATATACCACATTCGATACAAGAATGATTTACAAAAGAAAAAAAAAATAATAATAAAAATATAAAAATAAGACAAAATATTATAAAAGAAATTTAATTTAGTTATTAATAAAAAAGCCCGAACATATAGGCGGAGTTCAGGTCAACTCTAATCTTCCACTCAACCTAACAGAAAGAAGTACCATAAAAAACAACAAAACAAAAGAAAAAAAAGGATACTAATACCAATTACAAGGAAATACCGTCACCCACCGATCACCCAACACTTCAATGCTCTTTTAAATCGGTTCAGGGGTAGTCCAATTAGGTGCTGAGGCAAATTATTGTATATTATGGCGTATATCTGATAAAAAAACACCCTTTGGAAAAATCTGTCCGGTGGGAAGGAGGTGTTAGTCTACCCCTGAAGCGAACATTAACATTATGTACAGGGTAGGCAAATTTGGGTGTTATTATAGGCTATCTCAGAAACTATAAGAGATACGAAAAAAGTAGGTGCCATGTCCCGGTCTCTTTTTTCGAGACTAAACCAATCTCGCAAACACCAAACCACTATCTTCTTTTGTTTTTAAGTTATAGCCAAAAAGTCAAATATTCGTGATTTCAAAAATGCTTATATTTTGTTTATTTTTGAAATTAGAGAAATGGGGTTGACACATTCTTAAGACACTTTTTAAGTAGAATATACTGCCGTTGAAAAATTTAAAAAATGTTTGATGATTTTTGAGATTCAACACAAAATTGTATTTTTTTTAAATACAAATTATAGTAGATTATGGTGTTACTGAAAAGAGCATATTTTTAGCTTTCCAATGATGTGTTTCACGCATGGTGTATTTGGGGAAAATAAGCGTTATTTTTTAATTCTCAAATATTAAAGATTAATATTCAAAATTTTAATTATAGTAGGCGAGGAAAACATTAAATGCCACTTAGTTACTATAGTAACGTGAGTTTACTGATCATTTGATTCATAAATTCTTCGAAACGAGTTTCCAGCTTAAAAATTCCCCATTATCTTTAAATACATAAAGCGATAAAATTAAAAAATGATTCTTTAAAAATGATAGACAAGGCTCCATATCCCATAACAACATCGTTTCAATGGAAAGTCCGCTGGTTGGGGAAAACT